ATCAAGAAGAATCAAAAGGCCTACAAGATCAAAAATGATTAAGATTCACAATCCATACCAAGATTTACAAGTTCAAAGATTAATTCAAGATGCAAATGTACAAACGATATCATGAGCTTCAGATGCATAAACGATATCATGAAAAGCATCATCCTGCAAGGCAGCATTAATCTCAGCACAAACAGAGCAAACGTTAGTGTAAGCACATAAATCGCAAGAGTAAGTATCATCATAATTTAATAAAGATGGTAAATCAGATAATAACTCAGGATAAGTGTCATCAACTAAATCAAACAATAACTCTTTTGGATTCACTACTGTTTGGGTGGGTAGTTGGTTTAATTCTTGAGCTTGCTGCATGACATTCACTACAGTGGCAAGCTGTCCAATCTGTGTCTGCAAAGCCTGAAGACTGGAATATGTTCGTTGCTGAAACTGAAGATCATTTATAGCCATTTGCTTGACAATGTCCTCTAGTGAAGGTTCAGAAGGTGTAGAGCACACAAATTGGAATTCCTTCATATGCTTATTCAGATCCTCACCTACAAGTCCATTAAACCTTGGCAACAAGTGTATTAAACCAGATTTCAATTCGAAAGGAACATCAACATCAATATATTCAATACTTAAATCATTATAATGAAAATCAAGAGCAGCAAGCTCTCTTAATGTTCTTTGTTCAGACATGTTATGAAAAGGGAAAAAATTAACAAAGAATTAAAAATCACAAAACTAATTCAGCACTGCAGCAACAATTTGAAAAATACCAACAATGTTCCTAATTAGAAAAAGAATGGAAAAATAGAAAACCGAATAAAATAAAATCTAAAAATTATGAAAATATAACTAAAATCAAATCAAATCAGAATAAATCTCTACAAAAAATTTCGGATTTTTTTGAAAATATGAAAATAGAAAATAAATCAAATAAAATAGAAAAATAAGGAATTTGCGATTTTCAGGGTCAGATTCTTTAACAATTTTATTCTAAAAGAGTAATGTTCTTCAATTTTTTTTTTGATTTTCTGAAAAAAAATTTGGAGCAAATCGAAACAGTAACTTACAAACTCACCTGTTAGGCTGGAATGTTTGCCAATGCTCTGCAACCCTGAAAAATCAACAAGCAAACACAAAAAAAAAAAAACAAAAGATCTAACAAAACTTTAAACTAAAATTCTAAAATTGGCTAAAATCAACAAGAATCCCCCTGACAATGGTGCCAATTTGATCCGCTGTCGCGCACAGATCAAAAACGAGTATTTTTGAAAAAGTAGTAAAGCGACAATGACTTGAGTCGTATCTCAAGGATTCTTATATTATTTCAACCAACTAAAGAAAAGTTTTATGGGAGTTTTATGTTTTGATTTATAAAATAAGAGAAAAAAGTGATTAAAAAAATGATTATCAGATAATCTAAAACGGCTAATCATACTGCTTCGGATTCCGACTTATCATCGGCTATTATAACACCAATCTCTAAGCAGCTTCAATCCTATTCGATTATGATATTAATCAGACAAGCGCTTATAAAAATCATACGAATTATGTTCCTGTTACCGAATTAAGCAAACGGTTAAGAATACGACGAGTTAACGAATTAAGCAAACGGTAACACGCAATTAATTTAGGAACATGCATACAATCGAATTTAATCAATTCCATCCTATAAACACAATCGAATTAAGCAAACGATTGCCATCAAATTAAGAAAATAATTTCATAGAAAAGAATTGAACAAAAATCGAATTAAATTGGTATTATAATAACCTCAAAGTGATGGAACCCGTAAGCAGCAAGATTTGCCTTGGGAACTAGTTTTCCATGAAAATCGTATAAAACATAATGAAATTTGTAAGGTTTAGTGACAGTAGTATCGCTGGTAGGTATAAGAAAGCATCAACACTTCTGGTTTTAACCCAACTGGGTCGAAAAACATAAAAAACGCGGCCCAAAACTAAATATTTCAAACAACAGATATTGGGTCCTAACTTCAACGAATTATTTGAACCTGCTACACTCTGAGTCATCCTCTGTCTCAAACATAAAAGTTGTAACTCTCTGTCTTAGCTTTCCCACACCTATTAGAACGCGCAAATCTGATTCTCACAGCTCTAGTTATGATTCAAACAATGGACAAATATCAAATAACCGCTAAAGCTGAAAATAAGCTGCGAAAATAAAATAAAGGTAAAAACAAACTTAAATATGAAAACACATTAAAATAGTAAAAATACTCAAATAAACTGTAGGAATGCCTGAGTATAACAATGGAAGAATGTGTATGAAGATGTACTGATCAATACACTTGTACCGCCATTGAAACTCTTTCAACGAGACACTCACCCATTTGCGGGACACCTACCTAAGATCATGTGGAATATTTTCGATACAAGTAAGTCGGTCCCTTTCTCGAACCAAAGGATTGAAGATCGACAGATTCCTAAATTTGAGAAAGAAATTAGAAATAGTTCAGACCAACTATGATTAGCATAGGTTCGACAACTTGGATTATGGGGGGTATGTTGAAATATTATATTAGATTTGATTTGATTAGATCATGGTATCAGAGTCTATCGATTTGGATCACCCACCATTTATATATGTGCACCAAGTCTAAAAAGTGTTGGACGCAAGGGGGTGTATTGGAAAAACCAAATCTCATATATCAATAATTCGGGTCATCTACCATTTATATCCACGCACCAAGCCCAATAGTATTGGGCGTGAGAGGGTGTATTGAGAAAAACCTAAGTTTTACATTGGTTAAAGATATAAACTACAAAGAGTTTATATAAAGTAATATTTTTCGTCTTACCAACCAGTTTTGTAGGGTTGAGTTATGTCAAACTCTAATTCTATCATTTACAGTAGGAGGACTTAATTTTTTGAAGCTACCGAAATTGAATATTTTAAAGCCACTCTACTAGGAAATGTATGACCTTATTTATCATTGCCAAAGGTAACAACTTTGTTTTCTAAACAATTAATCAAACTAAAGCAGTACAAGATAAAGTTGTAGGTGTGTCACGTAAAAGATTAAAACCATTACAAATTTTTAAAGTTTATTTTGTAGACGTTTAAAACCACCACTAAATAATTGAAATAAAATAACTAAAATATTGCAGGAATTTGAAACCACCACTAAATAGTTGACAATCAAACAAATAATAAATTAAAAATTTTGTGACATTTAAAACCGTTGCGAAATGGTTGTCTCTAAAAAAAATCGAAAAAATGTAATTTCTTAAGTGTGAGACATATACAGAGCCCAAAATAAAACGCAAACAAAAAGTCTCTCATTGGTTGATGGATATAAGGATTAAATAAACAAAAGTATAGCAATGTCTAAATCAATCACATGTATAAGAAAATGTGTAATTATGAATTAAAATATGCTTCAAAAAGGGCAGATTTTAGGGCAATTTGCCTAGAAGGACATAAGTACCGTGACAAAGATACTTGTTGAGAAACTGAATTGATAATTTTTAGTTAAGAAATTCCTTAACATGCTTGGTAAACAAACATGATTAGAAATTTAACACTCTATAATTTAATCAACTACCTACCCATTACAATTAAATGCCACCAAAATTACTAATTTACCCTTTAATCAAAATTTATTTATGCCTAAAACAAGGACTTTTGTGTAAATAACATATTCCCCTTTCTTAGACTTTCTAAGAACATTTCTTTCCTCCACATGTCACTATCCTATTAGTCCAAACTCATCTCAATATCTTATATCATTTTTCCCCCTCTTTTCACATCATTTTTTGAAATATTGTCTTTCTCTCTCTCTCTCTCTTCGCCTATATTCTCTTTCTGAACCACCCACCATATCATATCAGAACAAAACTTCTTCATCTGCCGTCTTCGTCTTTCTTCATCTCCCGTCCTCGTCTTTCTTGCTCGCAAGCGAAAAACTGAAGGTACCAGCTTCTCCCTTCCTCGTCTATCTTCCAACATATTCACTTCCATTGTAAATCGGAAGGTAATGTTGCTTTTCCTTATTCATTCATTTGAAATTGTAAGTTGATGTTTATATTCCTTCTTCATTCTTTTGAAATCGGTTATTTTAATGTTCGTGATTTTGGGTTTATGAACCCGAAAGCTAATGTTCATGAACAAAGGGGTTTGATTTGGTTTGGGTAAATAACATTTTTTTTTTCGTTTTTGTTTTGGTTTGGATGGAGGTTTTTATTTGATTGTGTGTTATGATATTTGATTTTAGTTTATGTTTATGTTTTATTGTGAAGGTTTGGAAATTTTTTAATTTCAGTGTGGTTTTTAGGGTTTTTGATGGTTTTGGTATTTGGTGAAGGTTTGAGAAAGATATGTAGTCCATCACCGCCCTCGCATCGGTAATGTTCGTTAGGTTTTTTACTCTTTAAATTTGGTGATGGTTTTTGTTTTTGCAGGGTTTCATTTTCGATTCCTAATTTTATTTCACGAATTGAATTTCATTTTCATTTCATTTTCTTGTGTTGTTGAATAATGTGAATCACAATTGTGCTAATTGATTTGTTGATTTTTCAGACTTCTATCGAGTTCAGGGGTTGCTGGGAAACCTATCCGTTCGGCTACAAACATCAGCAACCACCGTGGAAGTAGCTCTGATATATGTTTTTGTCTCCTCTAATCTGTTTGTTCATAGCTATAGCCTATCAATTGAAGCTTATATTATAGCCAATCCATTGAAATCCTTTATTAAGAGAAGAACAAGAACCAATAAAAAGGTGGAGGGTGATGGGTGTTATATGATTCATATATTTATTGGCAAAGGAAGAAATTTAGGCTTTATTTCTGTTTTTTTTCTTTTCTTTTCCTGCATTTTCATAGAAAGCCAGCACAGGCATAGAAAGCTTGTCATATGATGCACCAGACCTTGTGGATGACTATTACCTCAATTTATTGGATTGGGTAAGTGCCATGTTCTTGCAATAGCACTTGGAAACATAGTGTATTTGTGGGACGCATCAAACAGTTCCACTTCAGAACTCATGACTGTCGAGGATGAAGACGGCCATGTCACGTCTGTGAGTTGGGCTCCTGATGGGCATCATATTGCTATTGGTTTAAACAACTCTGAAGTGCAGCTATGGGATACAACTTCCGATAAGCAGGTATGTTATCCTTCAAATTATATACACCACTTTATGAACTATTGCTATCCTTTTCCTACACAAGTTAGATTACTAATGTTGTTCTTGTATGTTTTTGCAGTTGAGAACATTGAGAGGTGGACAAAGGCAGCGTGTTGGGTCATTGGCATGGAACAACCACATACTCACAACTGGAGGAATGGATGGTAGAATTCTAAACAATGATGTACGAGTTAGATCACCCATTGTTGATACATACAGAGGACATGAACAAGAAGTTTGTGGGTTGAAATGGTCGGCTTCAGGTCAACAATTAGCCAGTGGAGGAAATGATAATCTACTTTATATCTGGGACAGAGGTACATCATCTTCTGCTTCCCCAACATAGTGGCTTCACAGGCTTGAAGATCATACATCTGCAGTCAAGGCAATTGCTTGGTGTCTTTTCCAAGGGAATTTGCTAGCTACCAGTGGAGGCAGAAGCATCATGTTTTGGAATACACATACAGGTGCATGCTTGAATTCAGTTGACACTGGGTCTCAGGTGTGTTCCCTCTTGGGGCACCAGGTGAATGTTTTGTTTTCCCATCCGCACCGTTTACAATTTACACAAAATTGTCGTTGCCTCTTATTCAAGCATTTTATTGTTCTTGTCTTCCGCGTTTTAGATGTGGTCAATTTTTTCCTTTCAAAATGAAATACCATGATTAGACACATCTTAATGGCTTACCATATTCGTTTTTCCTTTCATTACTGAAATTCCATGGTAGTATGAAATTGCAGCAGGGTTTTACAATACATGTTGCTATCAACACTTTATTAAAAGAGTAGTTTAGTGGTCTCTCCTGCTTCTGCTGACAGTCTATTGTCTATTATTAAGAGTAGTTTAGTTCTGCAATATTAATCTGTAATTCAAAGAGATTTTCCCTATTTTCTTTCATATATCATTTGGTTTCTATCACTTTATGATAGTTCTTTCCTCTATCACTGATGGTTTTGTCCTTGGTATACATGATGTTTAGGAGTTTAAAGCATTATAGCTGAACTTAAAAATATTATAATGTTGACTCACCGATATAATCTAATTCATATTCTTTTTCTTGCAGATCAGGAGCCTCTCTATTTAACTCTTCTGATTGTGCATCCTGTCGCTACTGCGAAAATCGGCGCCGGCTGAACAGAAGAGTCGCCACCGTGCGTTATTTATCCCACAGGAGGGAAAGGAAACGCTCAGAGTAAACCTCGCACAACACGGGAAAGGTATGGTCATCGCAACCAAAACCTGGATTCGGGAGTCGGTTACGCAAGGGGAAGGTATTAGCACCCCTCACGTCCGTCGTACTCGACGGGATCCACGCTTGTTTTCGGGTATGGATTGTTATTTCTATCTACTCTACAGGTCAGGGTTAAGAGAAAATAAAATGACTCGGCAAAGTATCACACTTTATGCCTACGTATTCCCGTCAGGAACGAGAAATCAAAGTCAACGTAGTTCGCCTACCTACGGGAAAGGAGGGGAAGGTTGCTCGCTAGGATATCGCATCCTATGCCTACGTACTTCCACACTGCATGGAAGATCAGAGCAAACGTAGTTCGGGCCACGTACGACACAAGCTTGTCTTGGTTGATTTTATTCCTTCTGAAAAAGGTTTTTCTGATTAGCAGTCCTAGCGGACAAAAATGACGTCTTGATGAGTTCACATTCTTTTACGGAAGAAGTGTCTTTTATTATGTTTGAAATCTTTATTGTATTTTTCTGTTTGTTTTGAGAAAGAAGAGACAGAACTCTAACCTACAGTTGCGAAGGGAATCAAACTATCCTAATGTTATCATGCATGGGTTAAGACCTAGTGTCTATCATGCTCCTCTCTTGCGCAGAGAGAAACAGAGATCCTAAGGGAATAGACGGAAACAGAAACAATATCAGATATATACAGTAAAGCAGTAAAATGCATGAATGCAGCAATACAAGCGAGGCAAGGGAGTCCCACTCAACCTCGAACCTAGAAAACAATAGGCAAAAGTGAACAGACTTCACTTTCAACCCAACAGGGTAAACAGCAAACAATACAGTCAGGAAAACCAATCAATACATCAGAAATGAAATACATCAAAAATAACAACTACAGCAGCTCTGCATCAACACCTATCTTCAAGTCATCACCAATCAGCTACAAGCTTCAGCAAGCATCAATCTCCATCTCCACAGCCTTCAAGAAAGGGCTTTGGTCATCAGTCTTCCATCTACAATGGCTTTTCTTCAAGTCTCAGGCTCCAGGAGGACTATCAGTCAACCAGATGAAGTGAATGAATGTTAGACAGTCAATTACCTACCAAGGGTGGTTCATCAACTGTTAACATTATATAGACAATTTTCCCTCAAAAGTTCTATCTTTCAAATACATTCACTGATCCTTCCAAAGGAAGGAGGTGGATATTTGAAAGAGACTTTGAATCATAGAGAAAGGATGGATGCAGACAAGGCACTCCATGTTTGAGAAACAAGCTTTCTAATCTAGAACTCTGCCTAGCTCCTAAACCCTAGTCTCCTCAACAGCTGCTAGCAGGAATCTCCTCTTCAACTCTGGAAGTTGGTCTTCAGTCTCTGGATCTCCAATGGCTCCATCATCCCAAGTCTTCAGCTCCCCCAATCCCCAGACAATCCCAATACCCACACAAACAAGCAATAATCCCCAGAGGGCACACCACACCAATCAGTCAAATATAGACAGTAATATACTAATAGCAGTAGGGGAATCCTAGTGATTTCTAAGGTATCTAATAACTACCCATAGTCCCTATAGTCCCATACCCCAAAGATTCAATCTCTAACTCCTAAGGGAAATGAACTAATTCACCTATGTTTTCTTAAAACCCTAGTTTTGTTCATGTTGTTCACACCTAAACTAATCACCTAAAATTAATTTCTAAAAATGGGAACTAAATTTTATATACAAGATAAAAGTCTAAACTAACCAACCTAAAAAGAATGGATTAAAAATGTTAAAGCATCTATTCAAACTAAAATTAACAAATTCACGTATCAAACTAAACAATATTTACACCTATTAAAAAGAAAAATATGCCAAAAATATGAAAATAAAGCGAAATATTAATTTTTTTATGTGATATTTTTCTTAACAAAGTTATGAACAATGTGCAAAAAGAACCAATTAAAATCATGCATTTTTCCATTTTTTATGAATTTTCAAAGAATTAAGAAAAATGGAAGAAATAAAATGAATTGAACTTGGATGAGGGTGCAGAAAGCAGGTTAATTCAGTTAAAAAGCAAGGATGGGCCCAGACTGGGGGGGCACGCATAGCAAGCGCGTCTGGGCCCAATGCAATCAGAAAACTTAACAAAAATTAAAAAAAAAAACCTGAACGGTGTAAAAAGCAATTGATTCAGTTCATTATTGGTTTGGGCCTGAGGATAGGGGTGTGCATAGCAATGAATTAATGAGCCCAGTCAGAAAACATTAATGAAACGATGCGTTAAGGTTGAGTCTCTCCCTCCGTTTTTCATTTTAAATCAGGGCCATTGGATCAGTCCCAAAGTCAAGGTCAAAACCCTGATCGTGTGGCCATGGCTTCGTCTTCAACCTCCAGCAAACCCTACGTTCTGAAAACCCTAACCATGCACGAATCTTACACTCCTCTGTTCTCCCTCCATTCACCATGAAATCACTTGATGCAAAGAGCAAAGTTGCTCTAAATTCTTCCCTCTACACAACCATGTCCATAATTCTTTCTAAAACTCAACCAAGAAACAAACCCGATAGGTGCAATAACTCGGTTCCACCATTTTCACCTGATATCAACCTCTTCAATTCTTGCTCAATTCTATCCTAACATAATCTACATATCACACTGATCATTTCAAGCTATTAACCTAAGATTATCTTGCAATATTCTATGAGTTACAAGCTCCAACAGAATTGGTATACCATGATCAACCTTCATGAAACTTCTTCAAACTTTGCATAATCCATCATCTAACCTATCTTAGCCGTTCTATACTACCAATTCTCTATAATTCTAACTAAACTAAGAATTCGAAGAGGAACTAACCTGGTGCAAAATGATGAAAACAGGTGCTAAAACTCTTGGATCTGGTGCTTGAAAGGATTGGAAATTGATCAGTGAGCTTGTTCTTGAATTCTGTATGCAGTGAATTGGACTCAAACCTCTTGGATCTTGCAATTCCAAGTTTCTTGCTTCTTGGATGATGGAAGTGAATGGCACGATTCCTCCTTCAATTAGCCAAATGAATGTGTGAATTGTGATCTATGGATGATGATGATGAATACCAGATCAAGAATGGGGAAAATTGATGAGAATTTGGAAGAGTTTGAATTGATTTTGCAAGTGGGAGAAAATGTATGAAACTTGTGTTTATGAGCAAAATGAGATCACCAACCATGGCATGGATTTACTCATATCAATATATAGCTGAGGTTAGAAACTCCTAGAAGCTTGGAGAAGCTTCCCATGTATGATTTCCCTTGGATTTGGTTTATGTATCTTCCATTACATGTAACCAAGAATAACTCCCAAAATGTGAACCAAGCTCAAAATTCTACTTTAGCCAATGTTCTCAAAATGATCTTTCCATTCAAAATGACCTATAATTTTGCCCCATTTGGCCAAAATATGAAAAATCTCATTTTTAAGTCCATTTTTATTCATTAAATCCAACAATTTTGAAACCTTGTGCTATGAATCTTTACAATATCTCATGGTAACTTTTCTAGACTCAAAATGTCATTTGGAACAAGTTTGATGTTGTAAAGTTTTCCATTTGAAGCTTCCTTGTAGGAGTTTTGGGCATAGGCTTGAAATGACCTGTAATTCTCAAATGACCAAAATACCCTTTTCTTGCCAAGACCATAAGTAGAGTTCCACAAATCATATGAAGGCATACTATACCATTATAGAAAGCTAAGACAATGAGGAACAACTCTTATGTTTACCAGAAATTCATTTGAAATCTCCTTGAGGGGTAAAAATAGCTTGGAAGTAAAGTCACTTTCACAGACAAAATTTCAGATACCTCAGATGACCTGTAACTTGCAAGGACCATAACTTGAGTTCTATAAATCTCCTTAATGTCTTCCACCACTAAAATTAAAGGTCTTGATATCCTCTACAAGTTTCATGTTGGCCAAGGATCCATTTGAAGTTTGCATTTTGACTTATCTTGCTTGGAAATTTGACCTAAACTAGGGGATTTTACACAGAAACCCTAATTTAGAAACTCCTCTTCTCCTTGATTTGTCTTGAATTCTTCTTGGCATACCACCATATCCTCTTCTTCATGTCAAATGATGAACCCCACATCTCTCCAATAGCCCTTAATGCCTTACAATCAGTCAATTGACCCAAA